GCTCCCGCTCCCTGCGCACCGCCGGTTCCCAGCAGCCCGGCCGGGCCGACCCGGACCCCGCCCGCCCCCTGCGGCCCAACCAACTATTATTAATGCAGATTGATGAGGCCGGACACGCCGCTTTGTGAAAGTTTGCGTCCGGAGAGGAGGCGGCGGCGGCAGCTGCCGGGCCAGTCCCTCCCTGCGCCCAGACCTGCTCCCCACTCAGCCCAAGCCGCCCGGGCTCGGCGCGGCTCGGAGGGCGAGCGGGACGCCAGGCGGCCCCGCCGTGGAGCGCGCAACCGAGACTGCTGTGCGCCCCGCGCGGGACGGGAGTACGCACCAGAGGGCGGGTGGCGCGGCAGCACCTCGGCGCCCCTCACCCCTGCGCCGGCCGCCGCCCTCCATCTGCCCGGGGACTCCCCCCCTCCTCCCCCGAGTGCATCCCCGCCCCCGGAGCACACAACGTGGCCGCCCCGAGAGCGCGTGGCCTCGGCGGGGGTACGGGGCTAAGGACCGCTGAGAACAAGACGGCAGGGGGCGCGCTCGGCTCAGGGTCCCCTGCGTGGCCCAGGGCCACTCGTGGGGGGCCCCTATCCTCAGTCGTGCCTTCCCAGCCCATTCGCACTCCCTGCCCGGGACTCTAATCTTAGCTTTGGCTCTCGTCCTTCCGCCTCTTTCCCTCGGTCTCCCACTTCCTATTCTGGCCTCTGTGGGAACTCCTGGAGTGCCCACACTGAGCCAAGTACTCACCATTTCTGACCCCCAGCCCCCGCTCTCCCACACCCTTTCCATTCTTTTTTCCCTTTTCCCGCCTCCTTTTTATTGCTATTTCTTATTTGATGAGCTCCCATCCCATCTCGCACTCGCCACCCCAGTCCGTCTAACTCCGTTTCCCTCAGTGTTCCCCCTTATCTGTATCTCTTGTCTGTCTGTCTATCTCTTTCTCCCTCCCTCTCTCTCTCTCTTCCACTCTTCTGCCATTAATTTCCCTGATTGGCTCCCTGGCTCCAGCGCCGCTGATGAGCCCTATTCATTCCCTGGGCCTGACACTCTCGACCTGCCCTGGCTGATTGCTGGGGGCTGGCCCCAGGAGCGCTGATGAGCCCCAAGGGTCAGCAGCGCTAATTACCTGCTAATTGCAGCTGACTCTGCTCACCTCCCCCATTCCCAGACACAGAAATAGCGGTCCCTTTACTGTCCCCCTTCTCTGATTCCCAGCAGTAGACTTGTCATTCTAGAGGCAAAAGTCACAGCACTTCAGCAGGATAGGCAACTTAGGTCAGGGGGCAAGAAAGAGACTCAAGACAGGCAAATTCAAGAAGGTACAGTTTGGGAAGGGCAGTGACTAAGGTCAGGTAAAGAGGAGCACCTACAAAAACAGACCCAGAGTTGCCACACAGGACAGAACAGGGTAGAAGGGACTGCTGGGTCTCTGACATTTGTCCCAATCCAGAGTGTTGTGTTGGCCAGTGAGCAGAGCTACCTTCAGGCTGATTTACTCAAAATAAACACCCTGAAAGATACTGTCACCAGGGCAGTACTGAGGATGAGGGCAGGATTGAAAGGGAAAGGTTTCACTCCAGGCATGGTGGCTCATGCCTGTGATCTCAGCCTGGGAGGTAGAGGTAGGAGGATCAGGAGTTCAAGGTCATCCTGAGCTATATAGTAGTGAGTTCCAGAGCAGGCTTGCCAGGGCTACAGAGTATTGACTGATAATGTATCAGAGAGGTGAAGAGAAACGGTGTCATTTCTATACAGTCCTGATTTACCTTGGGTTCTGCATCAACCCAATGAAAACTCAAAAGGTACCTTTGCTTAGGTCTGGGAACCCCCAGAGTCACGATAAAGTAGTAGGACACATCTTTGTCTAAAGATAGCCTTCCAAACAAACCTTTTTTAAATTAACCAAGCCCTTCATGGTCCTGATAACGAAGCCCAGATTTCAAAAGTGTATTGTACTTAAAAAGGGAGAGGTCAAGTACTTGGTTTGATGGCTTTACAGTGTTGGATACATAATAGAGGCTTATTGACTTGATGAATTATGGAGGGAACTTTGAGCTACAATTACTGCAATTAAAGCTGTATGAGCAGTTTCCGCACCAATCAAATAACGCATGAAGAAGAGCCATTTTTAAAAGTAATTGCATTCATTTTTTGCATAGGTAATAAAATCACATAGAACAAAATTCCAAAAGCTCAGAAGGATAGACATTGAAATAGCTCTCTTCCAGAGTCCTGCTTGTAAATAGGCATTAAAGCAAGACTGCCAACCTCTCTGCTGGCTCAGAAGGGATCATTCACTGTCAGGACTCAAGGGTAAAGACCCTCTTGGTCTTGAAGGTGTTTGTCATTGACCTCAAGCTAAGAGCTTATTGTTTAGAACCTTTCCTCAGGGAAGCAGACTGTGCACTCAAGTTGGCAAACACAGTACAGGTTTACAGTTGGCACCAACAAACCCCAGGGGTTACTAACTCAGGGATAAGTGAGACCTCAAAGGCTTTGTGTATGGTAGATACTGAGCCTCATGACCCATTTATATCTTCAGTCACTCCCATGCCCTGTGGGGCCATGAAGAGTGACCTCTTTGTAGTGTTTGAGGTTCAGTAGCTAGTATCACATGTTTAGGGGTGACCACTGCAGCCCATGTCCTTTCTCTGGCCTTTCATGCAGGGTGGAACTCAGATCACATGGTAAATGGGGGGAGGGCATTGTTGAGAGCAAGAAGACCTGGAAACAAGTTCTGGCCCTCACTGAGCCACATGGCCTTGGCACCTCTTTGATTTAACTTCTCTGTGTTTGAGAGAAGGAGAGTACTGTCTACTCTGTCAAGTCAAATAAAAAAAAAGCAAAGATCACATAGACATGAGGAAATACCTTCCAAAATGAGTTCTTCCTGCGCAGAATAAAGGACGAGCACACTGGTCCAAGAAGGGAAGGACTCACTGCCCACCAGACCAGCGTACTTCAGTACCAAGGACAGGTGCCATTGATACGGAAGCCACCAAATCTTTTCTTCTTTTCTTTATGACACAGGGTCCCCCTGCAGCCCCAGCTGGCCTGGAATTCACTATGTAGACCAGACTGGCCTCAGTCTCACAGAGATCTGCCTGCCTCTGCCTCCTGAGTTGGGATTAAAGGTGTGTGCCACCACACCCCGCCAAATCATCTCTTTACCAGCAGAAAATAGAGCTCTCCTGCTGAATCCCTGAACAGGCCCATCATGCTCAAGTGCCAGGTCTTTTCTGAAATGGAGCTGAGAATGTGCCACCTTGAACTGTCCACAGGCTCTGCGCTGACCCATTCCACTGCCCCTTAGCTTTAGGGAATGCTCGGTAGAGGAATTTCTTTGGCTCCTGTTTACCTATTTGCTTTCATTTGTTGGCTTGTTGGAAGTAGGGTCTCGAATTTAATTTGCTTAATTTTTTTGGAGACAGAGTTTCACTATGTAGCCCCTGTCTGGCCTGGATCTTGCTAAGTAGACCAGGCGAGACTCAAACTCAAAGTGATCCCCCTGCCTCTGGCTCCCAAACTCTGGGATTATAGGCATGTACCTCTACATCTGGATTTCCACACCTGGATTAAGAATTTTATTTTGTTTGTGTGTATTTTTCAAGGATTTACTTTTATTTATTTCTTATTATTTTTGTCTTTTTGAGACAGGATCTCCCCGTAACCCCAGGTGGCCTGGAACTCGCTACGTAGTAGCCTTGAACTCACAGAGATCTGCCTGGCTCCCAAGTGTTGGGATATTTTTATGTATATGAATGTGTTGCCTGCATGTGTGTAAGTGCACCTGTGTCATGCAGTGCCTGTGGAGGTTAGAAGAGGGTGTCAGATCCCCTGCAGACAGTTGTTAGGTGCCATGTGGGTGCTGGGAACTGAACCTGGGTCATCTGCAAGAGCAGCCAGAGCTTTAACCACTGAGCTGTCTCTCTAGCCCCTAAGTTTATTTTTTATCGTTTCTCTCTGCTTGGCCCTCATTATCTGACTTCTTCATGCTCTGGGAACTGAACCTAGGATTCCACTAAGAATGGGCAAAACGGTCTAAGGTCAAAGCCAAGAGGTTCATACCTCTGACTCATTGGCGGGAGGGCCCGCAGTCCAGGGTGGGTCGTGTCGGCTCTGTCCGCGGGCACCCTCTGGTGGCACTGGAGCGCAACTGCCGTTCCCGCGAGCGATGTGCGGAGTGCCGCAGCGCCCCCTGGTGTTAGCCAGGAGACGCGCCGAGGGCAAAGGAACCCGGACCGGTCAGTGGTCCGAGTTTCTGAGTGCTGGGCTGGGCTCGGGGATCGTACACGAGCATCTTGAATATATTGTGCATGCGTGCAAGGCATGTGCATATTCATTATGCTCAGGTTCTCGCACCCTGTGTATCAGATGTGCTAAATGTGCGCGGTTTGTGTGAACCCACCCGTTCACAAGCGGGTGGGTTGGTGGTGGGGAGGTCCGTGCCTCCAGTGCAGGGCGGAGTCCTCACGGAGGCGTGAAATTGGTTTGGAGCAAACACATTACGGAAAGCAATTACCGGGGAGAGGTTCTGGGCCCGCGGGACCATCAACCAGGAGACTGGGGAAGGAGCTCCTTGGTTTGCAAGTGTCTGTATGTCTAACCCCAGAAAGGACCTTCCTAAGGCTGCTGTAAGGGGCAAGAGGCAAAGTTGGGCAGAGCAGTCAGGTGGCCACTCCACACCACCTTTCTTCACTTCCCTTTAAAATACCCTCCAGATAGGAAGACATGCCCCCCATCACTTTAGAGGCGGCACCCCCTTTGTGAAGGCTTCTCTGGTGACTTCCTCCTCTGGCATCTCGGCTCGCTCTTACCTCCACACCTCAGCCCGTGCTCCCACCGCTATTTTGCTTACATTTCACAGCTCTTTGTAGTCTAACTAGTTGACACATATTTTGTAAGGGTGTGTGTGAGTGTGTGATTGGCTATATTGAAAATCCCCTCAGGGCAGGGTCATCAATACCTACTACCTTAAACTTAGAGCTCAGGGAACATAAAATGAACAGTGAAGGGATTAAATAGAATTAGAATTTATAAACCAGACTCTTGTGAAAGTTGTCTCCCCAAGACAAGGTCCTCTTGGAAAAAGGCTTCAAATTCTTGTACCTCAGATCATGGATCCACCCGATCTTTGAATACACCCTCTCTATCTCCCTAACCTTAGTAATTTGTATCACCATCCACCCAGTTGTTCAAGCCAAAAGCTGTGAGGCATGCTGGGGGAGGCCCACAAGCACTCCATCAGCGAGTGCCAGCTCTTCCTCCAGAGAATTCCAGAGCTGGTCTACCACTACCCTCCTCGTGCCAGGATAGCTGCAATAGCCTCCAACTGCCCTTCGGATTCTTCATGACTCCTCTGTCCCAGCCAGTCACTCCAAAGCCCAAAGCCAGTCAGTCCAAGAGACACCCGTTCACATCACTCGGTGCGCTTCCCACATTCCACAAGCTGGCCCCTCCCTGTTATTCAGCTATCAAGTTACATGCCGCCTCCTCAGAGTGGGTTTCCCTGTCCCCCAATCCAAAATAGCTGCCGTCGCTGTCACATCACCCCTTGCATCTGTCTCTACAATTAGCATTGTGTGCTGCCTGCTCAGGTTTACTTAGCCTTTCTTACCTGGTACCTAGCAAAGTCTAGTGGGGACAGAAGGCAATGCCTGGCCTAGCGCACAAGAGGCACCGCACAGTTAAGGAATGAGCAAAGGTACGGTGCGTGTTGGTCTCCCAGGGAGGCTCGAGCAGGATGGTGAGAGGAGAAAACCTCCCAGAGCAGGTTCATCATCCACACCTGGGGAAACCATCTCCTGAATCTGACTTTACCCCTGTGAGATACAGGCCTGTAGGGGCTGGACAAGCCCTGGATCTGGGGTCCGACCATCGGCCCCTCGCCAGTCCCCAAGCCTCGTGCTCGCACCTGAAGCCAAGGCTGGCCGGTCCACACAGAGTGAGGCCAGGCTCCGAGTCCCGCCATGCATCTCCAGCCCACTTGCTTCCTTGGCCTTTTGCAGCGGGCTCCCGGCCCCGCCCCTCGTGCTCTGGGCACCTCCCCCTCCCCGCGCTCCAGTCCGGGTCCTCAGCGCCTCCAGGCACCGCCCCAGGTTGTCTGACTCCCAGTAGTTGGCTAGAAAACTGCGCGCTCCAAGCCTGGGAACTCTGGGCCAATGACCCTTGACGTCACAGATGACAGTGCATTTGATTGGTTGCTCTGAGGTTCTGGGGACTTCTGTCCGCTGCTCCCCGCGGGGGCCTCTGGCGTGCTTTTACTGTCCTGGTACTGCAGTGACCCCCAGCCTGCAGGACTATCCATTTACAGACGCGGAAACTTGAGTCTGGGGAGAAGACTTAGGTTCCACAAGTTAAAGGCAGAGTTAACAGCCCGGTTCCTAAAAGCTCTGAGCTCTTGCCACCACAAAGCTACTTTTAAAGAAACAGATTAGAAGGAACAAGGGCTAGAAGTGCTCGGCCTACAGGGTCAGGCAGCAGGTAAAACCGGTTGTGTTTTCCTATGCCTGGGCCTTCCGTTACTTTTATCCCACATCTCCTCACGGCAGAACGCCTTCTTAATGATCCAGCCCCCTGTCCAGCCCCGCTTTGCACACCTCTGCCCTAGCTCACCCTTCAGGCCTGTTCTGGTAAACTCTCACCTAGGGCTCATTTCATGGAGGGGAGGGGCAGGTTGGCCTGGGACCTGGTGATGGATACCCAAGGGAGATGAGACTTTATGTGGGGCAGATCTGGGGGCCCATCCTGACTCCCATATGAGGGAGGAGGAGGGTGAAGACTTGTTGGAGATAGCACCAAACCACACAGCCTGGAGACTTTCTTTTTCCTTTTTCAAAGACAGGGTCTCACCATGTAGCCCAGACTGGCCTCAATCTTCCTACCTCCACCTCCCACGGGCTAAGGTCACAGGTGTACCATTGTGCTGGAATTCAGCCTAGAGATTTTCAGTGCACATCTGGGGTTTGCACAGGCTTTGGGGGCCCCTCAAGAGAGTCCCAAGAGGACAGTGGCACTTGCTCTGTCTTTATCAGATGTCATCTGGCTGCTTAACTGTTCCCCTTTCTCAGGTGGGATGGAAGGGTCCATGCCTGTCTTAGAGATAGGAGATGGGTCTCCTGCTGACAGGACCACAGGACATGAGTCAGTGTAGAAAGGCGCCCCTGAGTTGCGCCTGCTTCCAGGTGTTCTCAAGGCAAGCATACCTGGAAGGAGAGGTATGGTTTCAGAAACCTCCAGCGGCTCTGGAGGCAGCTGGTGCAAGCCAGGACTCTCCTTTATCCCTCTTGCCTCCTGCCCATCCTCTGACCCCAAATGCTGTGGCTGCCTCCAGAACCCAGGGCTCACCTAGTAGAGCACATCTTCGAAATCTAGCTGCATGTAGCGGAGCAGGCGAGGAGGCAGGGGAAGCCTTGGGAGCGCGTAGGGCAGGCAGCCCTCCAAGTGAGAGCGGAGCACACAGCGGCTCAGATGCTGCAGGGACCTGGGCTGCTTCACCAAGGCGAACAAAGAAGCGTAGAAACGCTGGTGCTTCTGGGGACAGAAGGAAGGGATCAGCAAGGACAGCCTTGGACAAGTGGCACCCACTTCTAACAGGACCGGGCTGGCGACCATTGGGGATGTCTACAGGAACCTCATAGAACCTCTTACAGCTCCCTCCAGAAAGTCTCTTCTGGGACATGAATGGATTGCTGGGTAATTTCTGTGGAGGACCAAGGAGGCTGCCCTTAGGGGAATGGTGTCTCTTAGAGTCAAATCAGGGTTCTGGATTCTGACCTGCAGAGTTTCAGGAGGTACCAGATCCTTGGCCTCTTCAGGAAGCTGCACCACACTGTAAGTGTTCATCAGGACCTCAATGGTCCGTGGGGATGTACACCAGCGCTCCAGCACCTGGAGGAGGGAGAGATTTCCTGCTAATCCTGCCAGTCCATACGGGATGACCAGACAGATCCAGAACACTAGTTGTGGATTGAATATTGCCCTCCCCCAAATATATTGTACTCCTAACTTCTGGCACCTATGAATGTGACCTTGTTTGGTAGTATTTTGTTTTGCTTTTGCTTTTTGTTTTTCAGACAGTCTATATAGCCCTGGCTGCCTTGGAACTCACAGAGATCTGCCTGCCTCTGCTTCCTGAATGCTGGGATTAAAGGGTGTACCACCACGCCTTTTGGAAATGGGTTTTAAATTTTTATTTGCGTATGTATTTGTTTGTTCTTGAGACAAGCTCTCATATATCCCAGACTGCCCTCAAAGTGACTATGTCACTGAGGGTGACCCTGAATTCTTGTTCCTCCTGCTTTCGTCCCCCAAGTGCTGGGATCACAAACATATGAGGTGATGTCCAGCTTAGAAAAGGACTTGTGCAGATACGATCAAGTAAAATTGAGATCATTAGGGTAGGCCCTAATCAAATGTCAGTCATTCAAATAAGAACAGGACTTAAATGTAGATCAGCGGAAGGGTTCCTGCTTGGCACGAATGAAACCCTAATTTAATCCCCAGCACCAAATAAACTGGATATGGTGGTGCAAGACTGAAATCTCAAACTTGAAATCTTGAAAACTCAAGAGGGAGAGGTAGGAAATCAAAAGTTCAAGGTTGTCTTTGGCTATACAGCAAGTTCAAGGCCAGCCTGTGCCGCATGAGACCCTGCCAAAAGAAAGGAAGGAAAGCCAGACACATACATACGGAGAAAGCCCTGTGAGAACATCAGAGTGATAGGACCACAAGCCAGGGAGTACCAGGACCACCCAAAACTAGTCAGCTGTAGAACAGCATCTCCCTTGGGGCCTCCAGACAGGACCAGCCCTGCCAGTCCTTCTGTTTCCAGCTCCAGCCTCTGAAACAAGAAGGGGTTGAGGGCTGCTGCTTTAGGTGGTCTAGTTTGTGGCACTTTGTTAGAACGGCCCCAGGAAACCAATACAACTGCTACTGTTTCTATTATACCCTTGGCTTGTGTCAGATTCTTTTCTCAGCACTTTGCAGGCATGAACTTCTGATCTTCATTCTCACGAGATATGGACTGTTATGATCCCCACTTCCTATACAAGGGGAAGCAGACACAAAGAGGTTAGGAAACTTGCCCAAGGTACAGTTCCAGGAGACCGTGCCTGGCACAGTGGCTTCTTGCCTCCAACTACTATGCCACCCTCTCCTACCTGCATTTTCAGGGCTTCATCCTGGATTTTCTACTGGCTAAAAAGTAGTGCCTGGGCTGGAGGTGGCCCCTGGGCAGATAAAAAGATTAGTTACTGGGGCTGGGGATACAGCTCAGATGGGAGAGTGCTTGCCCAGTATACACAAAGCCCTGGGTTCAATTGTCAGCACCATATAAGCTGGGTGTGGTCGTACATGCCTGTAATTCCAGAACTTGGGGGGTGGAGGCAGGAGGATCAGAAGTTCAAAGTCATCCTAGGCTACATAGAGTTTGAAGTCAGCCTGGGCTACATGGGGCCCTGTCTCAAACAAAAGCTGGGACTTTTGACTTTAGTTTTGGCACTCAGGAAGCAGAGGTAGGTAGAAATCTTGTTTAAGTCTAGCCTGGTCTTCAGAGTGAGTTCCAAGTCAGCTAGGGTTACATAGTGAAACCCTGACTCACAAACAAAAATTCTGGGGGCTGGAGACATGGCTCAGTAGTTAAGAACGTTGGCTGCTCTTGCAGAGGACCCAGGTTCGGTTCCCAGCATCCACAGGGCAGGTAACAACTGTCCATAACTCCAGTTCCAGAAGATCTGATGCCATCTTCTGACCTCTGTGGGCATTGCATGACACAGGTGCACTTACATGCAGGCAATACACTCATACACATAAAATAAAAAAATAAAAAATTAAAATAAATCTATCACTGTATAAAGTAGAATCTTCCCGATGACCAAGGAAGCCTAGAGACACACGTAAAGGCAGTAGGGGAGGAGGAGCAGGAGCAACTGCGCGGAGGGACTACCCACGAGGGCGGAAGGCAGCTACAGTCTGCTACATACAGGTGCACTTTTTTGTTTGTATTTTGAGCCAGGGGTCTCATTGTGTAGCCCTGGTTAACCTGGCACTCACTATGTAGACCAGGCTGGCCTCAAAGCTACAGAGATCCACCTGCCTCTGCCTCCTGAGAGTTGGGATTCAGGCATGTGGCTCCACACCTGGCTCACACAGGTACTCTTATGCCCACCTGTGCCTGTGCTTGTCCCTATAAACATGTTGGCACTTTCTCCACTCCATCTTTTGTTGGACCTCAAATGACAGACAGTGAAACTGCTATGTGCTGTCTCCCAGGCAGCACGTGTACACATAACCTACACACCAGGAGCCTGAAAAACCCTGCTTCCCAGGGGGCACGCCAGTGGGTGATGGGAACAGGTGGAAGACCAGACCTTGTTCAGCACAGGGGCTCCTGGAGCCAGCATTTTACACGGCCAATGCCTCTACTTCTTGCCCTGTCTTTGGGCAGTACTTATCAGAGTTTCCCTAGCCCAGGATGTCCCTGGCAGGCCTCCGTGCCGATTAAACAACTTGCAGAGGGTCTCTGCACGCACGGTGTGCCTGGCATCAGAACGTGCACTCTTCGTGATCACCAATCTTGTAGTAGGTTGTTGGACTGACTGACCCCATGGACAGGCGGCATACCCTCAAACAGCATCAAATATGCACTAGCCCACTGTGCTTCTTCAGTTTTCTATCCTTTCAGTGGGGCCTGTATAGAATACCAGGAACTTGGGCTCAAAGACTCACTGACTTGCTTCCTTTGAACAAGTGTCCAGGTTTCCTCATGACCAAGTCCAATATGACAGGCTCCTGGAGCTGGCGCGCCACATAGCTGGGCCTCAGAGTCATCCTTACAGGGAGGGCCGGGACTCCAGCCAAGGCTAGAGGGCTGCAGATCATGGGAAAGTGACAAATGGAGCCATTTACTCTGCCAGGCCTCTTTTTCCCCAAGACAGCCAAGGGTCAGAACAAGATGATGGGGGCAGGTGTAGGGGCAAAGGTGGGGTCCTGGCATATCTGCTTGCTGTACCAGGTCCTCCTCTACCCCTGCCTGGCAGGGAAATCATTAGCTGTCAGAGCCACCGTCAGATTACAGGGAATTGCTCGTCTCCTAATTATCTGGTGTTAATAGGAGATTAATTAGTGTTAATTGTTGATTTTCTTGTATTTTCCCAAAGGGGAGACCAATCTGCCGAACTCTCGGGCTGTTTAATTATTTGGTCTTGCTTAGGAATCCAGATAGATGCTGCTAGGTTTGTGAGCAAAAGGGAGAGGTGGGACAGCAGGGGTGGCTCTAGGAGAGGGGTAGAGCTGGGCTCCAGGGGACCTGCCCATGTTGCCACCCTCCCACATGGTCAATTTAATCTTGACATAGCCTCTTGGAGAAAGACTGTCCCCAGACCAGGCCAAGCGTCTTCCATGCATGGGACAGTGTCCCCCGCCCCCCAGCATCTGAAGTAGAACTCCAGGGAAGTTCATTAAGATAAAAACTGAAAAATGACACTGAAAGGCACTTTCAGAGGACAGTGACAGCTAGCCAGAGGCATGTGTCCTGCTAAGCTCTCAGAAAGTGGGCCTGTGACAATTTGCACATGCATGGAGCTCTTGAGCCTTGGGAGCAGATTTGAGCTCCACCTTGGGGAAGCTCATGCATCTCCATCACACCTCTCATCGCTCCTCAGCTGAACCTGCTGCCAAGTCAGAGCTCTTCAAACTCCATCTTCATCAGCTCAGAGCCTGAGGAAGACCTGTCAGCTCTCCTTGCTGCCTTCATTGGTCCTGGCTCTTCCGTCCTTTGGACGCTTTATAACCTGCCCACTGCCCTCAGTCCATCTTCATCAGGTACATGCACACATGTGTATACCCACACACGTACATGCTCAAACATACACACTTCCCATTTTGGCTTATTTCCTTATCCTTAGGTTTTGCTTACTTAATGATAGAAGAAACTCATCTATGTGTCCAAGTGCTCCAGGCTGCTTTAAGAAGCAAGACTGGCATACATCTGGGTCTCCAGGTCCCCTCACCATCACGGCCCTTTCCCTGCCTCCAGTTTCCCGTACCTTGGGGAGTGCCCCTGGCCAAACTCTGACGGCACCGTGGTTGAGTAGAGCTCGCACAGTGTGCTCGGGGCTCCGGGCCAGGGCTGTGGCTGGACCCTGCAGAGCACAGTGCAGGGCCGTATGCCCCCCATAGTCCATGGCGTTGGTGCTGACACCACAGGACAGGAGGAGTTCCACAACAGCCGAATGGCCATGGCGGCAGGCCAGGTGCAGTGGCCGCAGCTTGTCCTGGTCGGCAGCATCTGCCTTTGCTCCAGCTGAGAGCAGCAAGCGGCACAGCTGGAAACAGCGGTTGGTGGTGGCCTCTGCATCCCCCAGGGACTGACATCGGGTGTCACAGGCAGCCAGCAGTGGCGTCCAACCTTCAGCATTGCGGGCATCAGGATTCGCGCCTCGTCTTAGAAGCAGGTCGGCTAGTTCCACATGGCCCAGCCGGGCAGCTATGTGCAAAGGGGTCTCGTCTTCATCTTCAGACCGTCCATCTACTTGTGCCCCAAACTTCAGGAGCAGTTCTGCACACCTAGTCAGGAACAGATGGTGGTGAGGGAAGTGGGCAACGACCCTGCATTTCTGCCCCTCTGAGCACAGCAAACACAGCAGGGGCCCTGGGTGGCTCATGGCTCCACAACCCCCACCCCCACCAGTGGATCCTCTGTGTTGCATAAGGTTGGTCTCAAACTCCTAGACTCAAGGACCCTCTTGCCTCTGCCTCACAAGTGTTGGACGTATAGGCACCAGCCACCATTGCAGCCCAGAGTGGTCTGGTTTTGGTTTTGAAAGTTTATTTTTATTTTTCAAGTGTGTGTGTGTGTGTGTGTGTAAGCAGCACATGCTCTTAGCGACTTAGTCATCTCTCCAGCCCCAACCCGGTGGCCTTTTTTATCTTTTAAACACCTGGGTTCTTTCTACAGAAATCATCCACTATTCCCCCATGAGAATAAAAGCCACGTGGTTGGATCAGTGCTTCTCTCAAGGCCCCACCACCATCTCATGGTAAGGACTTTTGTGATTCTCACGTCACAGAGAGACCCAAGGGCTTGTGGATCTTACACAGGTTTACACAGCTAATAAGCAATGCACTCACGGCCAGGGATGGCAGGGCGGGTTAAGGGTTCAGTGTGCTAGGGCTGGAAAAGCTAGGGTTTGGGGCCTGGCTGTGGCACAAATGGAAATGGGGTCCTAAGACAAGGACCAACAAAACCAGAATGAACAGACTAGATCTGCTTCAATATGGTGGTCAGGGAAGACCAGGGAATCACAGTAACCAAAGTTCAGGTTGCTTCTTTGTGGGGGTGTCCTGTATCTAATGGGGGTAATTTGGAATAGCTGCATCTGGTGAGGGGCCATGAGTAGTATTGGCTAGATCATATCTGAAGCTGTTGCCATAGGAGTTCAACCTGGTGGCACTTGGTTTGGAGTTGGTGGTATTGATGTGGATGGGTCATGGGGGCTGCTTATTTTATCCTTCTATGTTTAAAGCATGACATACTAATTAAAAATATTTTATTTATTTATTTATTTATTTATTTATTTATTTATTTATTTGCTTTTGGTTTTTTTGAGACAGGGTCTCCCTGTAGTCCCAGCTGATCTGAATTCACTATGTAGACCAGGTTGGCCTTGAACTCACAAGGATACACCTGCCTCTACCTCCCTAGTGCTGGGATTAAAGGCACGCGCCACCATGCCTGGCTTATTATTTAAATTTTATGTGTATGAATGTTATGCCTGCATATATATAAGTGCACCCATGTCGTGCAATGCCCGAGGAGGACAGAAGAGGCTGTCGGATCCCCTGGAACTGGAGTTACAGACAGCCTATGGACCCAGGTTCAATTACCAGCACCCTCGTGGCAGGTGGCTACAAACCGTCCTTAACTCTAGGTCCAGGGGAATCTGAAACCCTCTTCTGACCTCTGCAGCATTGCATGACACAGGTGCACTCACATGCATGCAATACACTAATACACATAAAATTAAAATAATAAAATATTTTTTTAAAAAAAAGACCTTCTTGTTCAAGAAAGGAAGGATGGTATAATCTCAGTGAGTTTGGGCTGAAATATGGCCGGAGCTAAAGATGTGGGGATCTATGGAGCTGCACTGTCCAGGGTGGCAGCACTGACTGCAGCTGGCTGCTAGAAGATCAAACGCACACCAGTTAAGAACACTTAGCAAACAAAGTGGTGCAAAGTCTCTCATTAGGTGCTTTTGTATTGATTACATGTTGAAATAACATTTTGGACATAGTGTGCTAAATAAAACATGCTAAAATTAATTTTACCTGTCTCACAGATTTGTATACACATGTTCACACAGAGACACATAATTCATAATAGTGAAAATATCGCAGCTATCCAAGTGTCCATCAACAGATGAAAATGGATAAACAAAATGTGTTATCTTCATGCAATGGAATACTGTTCAGTCTTAAAAAGGAGGGAGAGTTCGACACTTACTGCATACAGTACGGATGGACTCTGAGGACGCTATGCTAAGTGAAAGAAGCCTGTCACAGAAGGATGAAGACTGCACAGTTCCATTTATAGGAGGTCTCTAGAGTGATCAAATTCATGAAAGATAGAAAAGTCCAATAGTGGTTTGTTTAATGGGGACAGAGCTTCAAGCTTTGTAAGGTTTGAAAGGAGATCTGTGGATGGACAGTGTGACAGTTGCCCAATAGCGTGAATATTGTACCACGATTAAAATGATTAAAATGACTGAGTGTTCTACATAGTAAGCCACAGTTACATGGCACAACCCTGTCTCAAAAAAAAAAAAAAAGGTTATAAGCTGGGCGTGGTGACACATGTCTTTAATCCCAGCTCTTGGAAAGCAGAGGCAGGTGGATGTCTATGAGTTCAAGGCCAACCCGGTCTACATAGTGAGTTTCAGGCCAGCTGGGGCTACAGGAAGACACTGTCTCAAAAAGACCAAAAAAAAAAAAAATTAAAATGGCAGTATGCGTGCGTGCGTGTGTGTACATGCGTGCACTCATGCATGTACAGCCAAAGGTCAGTGTCTGGCATTCTCCCTTATTTTTATTTATTTATTTATTATTTATTTATTTATTTATTTATTTATTTATATTTATTTATTTTTGTCTTTTCTGAAGCAGGGTCTCCTTGTAGCCCCAGCTGTCCTGGAACTCTCTATGTAGACCAGGCTGGCCTTGAACTCACAAAGACCCACCTGCCTCTGCCTCCCAAGCGCTGGGACTACAGGCATGTGCCACCACACCCGGCTTATTTATTTATTTTTATTTTATGTGTATATTATGTGTATGAGTGTTTTTGTCTACATGTAAGTGTATCACCTGTGTGTAATACCCATGGAGTCCAGAAGAGGGCACTGGATCCCCTGTAACTGAAGTTATGGACAGTTGTTAGCCACCATGTGGGTACTGGGAGCTGAACCTGGGTCCTCTTTAAGAGCATCCAGTACTCTTAACTGCTGAGCCATCTCTTCAGCACGCCATCTTGTTTTTTGAGGCAGGATCTCTTGCTGAACCCAGAGCTCACCAATTAGATTAGGCTGGCTGGCCAGCAAGCCCTGAGGATCCTCCTATCTCTGCCTCCCCAGTGCTGGGTTACAGGCTTGTTGCCATTATGATTGGATTTTATGTGAGTGTTAGGGATTAAATTCAGGTCCTTAAGTTTGAATGGCAGGAATTTTTCCAACTGAGCCATCTCCCCAACCCTTAAAATGGTACTTTTCATTTTAATTTCTTTTGAGACAGGGTCTCACTATGTAGCCCTGGTTGGCCTAGACTCACTATGTAGATCAGGCTGGCTTCAAACTCACAGAGATTCACCTGCCTCTGCCTCCTGAGTACTGGGATTAAAGGTGTGCGCCACCACATCAGGTGTGGTAATTTTTATATTATGTATATTTTACTGTAATTGCCTGTTTCAGTTTTTTTGTAGGGCTACTAAGAAACTTTAAATTACATACACGGCTCAGTTTTTATTTCTCTCTCTCTCTCTCTCTCTCTCTCTCTATATATATATATATATACATATGTATGAATATACACATACATACATATCTTGCCTTTCTGAGATGATCTCATGTAGCCCAGGCTGACCTAGAAATCTCTATGTAGCCAAAGATGATCTTGAACTCTATCCTCCTGCTTGCATATCCCAAGTGCTAGGGTCACAGGTATGCTCCACCATGCCTGGCTTCACTTCAGATTTCTATTGGCCTGTGCTGGTATAAAACATGTCTTCAGCCATAACGCAATCAACCCCACTGAATCTTCTGGAGGTAGATCAGCTCAACAGGGGACAAGATCCATAGGAGGGGACCTCAGGATTGAATGGCTTGCCCCTTTCTGGAAGGCATGCAGTCAGTGGAGAGAGGCCCTCTTAACCAGTTAGTTCCTGGGGTTTCCAAGGCTTTTGGTTAGATTTCACAGTGACTACGAAATGCTAAGGGGGGACTCATCCTCCCAGGCTCCTGATACACATGTCATAATTGTTAAGGTCACTACAAAGGAATATTCCTTGTAGTAAATAAGACACAGACACATTTGGGTGTGTCCATCCGTTTCTTTTTTTATTTTATTTTATCTTTTTTTTATGTGTATGCATGTATTGCCTGCATGTAGGTAAGTGCACCCGTGTCATGCAATGCCCTTGGAGGACAGAAGAGACCGTTGGAGCCCCAGGAACTGGAGTTACGGACAGTTGTTAGCTGTTGTGTGGGTGCTGGGATTCAAACCCCGGTCTTTTGCAAGAACAATCAGTGTTCTTAACCACTGAGCCATCTCTCCAGCCTTCCATCAGTTTCTTATGAGCTTAAGCTCATTCTTTTGTCACTGTTCTGCTTGGGATGGAACCCAGGGCGTTGTGCATCTAGGGTTATACCAAACCCCTTGAACCTATTCTTTTTTCCCTCAATACATAGTGGCTTAGCAGCTGTTAGCTCAGAAAATGTTAAAATTTTACAGCAATACCACCTCTCCACTATGGAACTAGACAATGTCCTCAGAGAAGGCTAGGACACTGGCCCCTGCCATGGTCCTCCACTACTCCCTGGGGAAGCAGAGGGTCACCCCAAGTTGAGACCACTACAAAATTTCTCAACTGGAGTCAGTGGATGGATGGCTTGGGGATTAACTGGCCCCGACCACCCCAACCTGCCCCTTAGAGTGGGCCCAGGGTGAGAGGTCACTCACTCAAGGGTGGCAGCTCCCCGGCAGAGATGTAAGGGGCGTTTCCCATCCTGGTCAGGGGTGTTGGGGTCGGCTCCTGCCACTAGGAGTACATGGACGCAGGCAGCGTGACCTCCAGCACAGGCCTCATGCAGGGCTGTGCGGCCCCCCGGGGCACTGTCAGGCCTTGCCCTCCGCCTCAGCAGCAACCGTAGAATTTCAGTGTGGCCACGGCTGGCTGCTACATGCAGTGGGGTGGTCAGCTCCTCCTCATACGTCAGGGACCAGAGTCCTAGGGAGAGAGGAATGGGGGCCTCAGATCCTGAGGGGCAGCAGAGAGCTGCCAGTGGAGGGTGAGGCTGGCAGAGATTGGACTGAGGGAGCCCAGAGCTTGGTGTACAGTCTCCCCTCTCCCACTCAGACCCCTCCATGCCCCTGGCCCATACTCAGAGCGCGGATGTTGAAGCGGTAATCCCTCCATCGCTCTGGGTCGCTGGTATCAAAGACGGAATCAGGAGCCAGGCCAGTGCTGGAGTCCGAGAGGATTCGAGAAACAGAACCCACATCCCCAGCCAGTACTGCCTGCCAGAAGGCAAGTGCAGGTCCTGAGGCCGTGCAAGTGATGATGGGTCCAAGGCCAGACTCAGACCCTCTGTCAGGCTTCTCCACCAGCCTGGCACAGAGGGTGTGTCTGTCACGTGGGGGCTCTTCCTGGCCCGTACACTTTCCTGGGGACCAGCTCATGAGCATGAGGGGAAGGAAGGGTGTGGGAAGGGAAGAGGAAGAGACCACAGACAGAGAGGATGAAAGGAGGGAAACACAGACAGAGGGCCGTGTCCCCAGCTGGAGCCTGACCTGGCCACGAGGCCCAATAGAAGCTATTCTGGGCTCCTCATGACTTCTCTCCTGAGCCAAGGTTTAGGCTGTCAGGAAAGTTCAGTGTGGGGGAGCAGTCAGGACTTCAACTTTCTCCCAGTCTTTGAGACCTCCGTGCTTGAGGTGGTCATCCCAGCCCCCAGCTCAGGCCTCCCGCGTAAGTGGCCCTCACCCCTCTGGTGGCTGCTCCAGCGAGGCTCAGCAGCCCGGCTCTCCAGCAGCAGGTCAGCTGTACTGTGGGGAGGGAACAGGTCCTGCAACCTGGCCAGATCCCCGGTGTACAGGGCGTTCTGCAAGGCCATGTCACGACACAACAGTGGTGATGACCGAGGGGTCCTCCAAGTTGGACAGGGCTGAGATCCCCCGATCCGGCAGGAAGTGGCCAAGGGGAGGCACCCCAGATGGTATCTTCTGTGGGAAGGGGAGCTTCTTCCTCCAGGCATGGCTGGTTTCTGGGAGAGGGGGCCAAAGCCGCAGGACTTGCGCTGGGCAGGCGGTGCTGGGCCCCAGCCAGGAGGAGCCCGGTGTGGGAGGAGCAGGGGAGCAGTCAGGTCAGCTGTAAATAGCTTCTTGCTGTCAGTTCTTGAGTGAAACTTTCAGGCTGGGGGAAGGTTAGGGAAGAGCAGAACAGGGTAGTGGGGGTGGAACCCCAAGCTTCATTCTCAGGGCTGAATGGCATGGGGTTGGTGCTCTGTTCAATCACTTTCACAGACTTAAGAAAAACAGTGCAGGAGCTGGAGACATGGCTCAGTGATTATGAGCACTGACTACTCTTCCAGAAGACCCAAGTTTCGTTCTCAGCACTCACATGGTGGCTAACAACCATCTGTAACTCCAGTTCCAGAGGTTCCAACGCCCTCTTCTGGCCTCTGCAGGCATTGCACAACACGGGTGCACTTTACATACGTGCAGGTAAAACACTCATACATTTAAGATATAAATAAATCCAAGCCTGGTGTGGTGGCACATGCCTTTAGTTTCAGCACTTGGGAGGCAGAGGCAGATGGATCTCTGTGAGTTTGAGGCCAACCTGGTCTACATAGTGAGTTCCAGAACAGCTGGGGCTACAGGGAGACCCTGTCTGAAAAAGACCAAAAAAAAAAAAAAAAGAGAGAGAGAGAGACATAAATAAATCCAAAAAAAGATAATTAAAAAAACACTTTAGGGGCTAGAGAAATGGCTCAGCGGTTAAGAGCACTGACTGCTCTTGCAGAGGATCCAGGTTCAAGTTCCAACACCCACATGGTGGCTACAAACCATCCTTAATTCCAGTTCCAGGGGAATCTGAAGCCCTCTTCTGACCTCTGCAGCATTGCACAACACGGGTGCACTCACATACATTCAGGCAATAGACTCGTACACATAAAATAAAAATAATAAATAAAATATTTAAAAAATCAGTTCAGAGAAGGAAAACAATGTGCCCAGGAATACTTGTCATAGAGTCAGGACTGGAATTCAGACCCCAAGCCCCTTCTCACCTATGACCTGTCACCAAGTCAGCCCCAGCTGCCTAGGCTCTGGCCCCTAAAGAGGCTCCTGGCTCCTGCTCTTCTCCTGTACCTTTCCATCCCCAAATCCAAAGGAACTTGGTGGAGGTGAACAGCACAGACCAATGTCTATGTGTAAGGCATTCATGAGGGGGTCTCTGGAAGACTGACTTCTACCCAGGGAAACAGGACTTAGTCCATAAGCAGCACAGAAAGCCCCCTACCCATCCCAAGTACTGACTCTCCTGATGATCGCCAGTTGCTCAAATCAGGTGCTGACCCCCATGCCTATTCCAAGAGCTGGCCTTCCATCCATTCCTGATGCCAACCTCTCACACCTGTCCTAGGCACAGGCCTCCCTGCCCACCCCAGGTGCCGACCTCACTCTCTGAATGACCCTAGGATCTCCCACCTGCCATCTCTACCATAGTTGTAGGGGGTCTTGGCTGGAGGTGAGAGACCGGAAGCTCCTTTGCTGACTCAGCATGTTGGGATAGAGATGGATTTTGTTGGGGGAAGGCAGGGATAAAAGGGGGGGGCGAAAGAAAAGGTGAAGCCTTTGGGCTCAGCTCTGCTCCACCTGTCTACCATGGGCTCTGGGGTATTCCTGCCTCGGGGGGGGGGTCTCACCTGGTCTGGCACACACTGGCTGTTACTGGTGGGCACTGTTTGAATTTTCCCATACCCTCTGCACATTGCCCTCGGAGAAAGCACTGTGGCTTCCCAGCCCTTTGGACATGGTAGACCTGGCTTCTTGAGTTTCTCACCCACCTGAGCAAGAGGGACCCCCCAAGGATGGGCTCCAACCCTAGGAAGCAGCTGTTCCCACTGAGCCCCAAGGCACAGGCTGAGGACAGGACGTAGTAGAGGTGGGGTGGTGGGGAGGAGTCCTGGGGGAAGGAGCTGCAACTAGTTGCTTTTCTCACTGTAACAAAAATACCACAAGAGCGGCCTGAGGAATGCAGGGTTTATTTTGGCTCCAAGTGGGAAGGAGTATCATCCAGGATGGAAGGCGTGGTGGCTGGAACATGAGGAGGCTTGGCCACACTGCACCCAGTCAGGTGGCACTGAGGACAGGATGCTGGTGCCCAGCTCACCTTCTCCTTTTTGTTCCGTCCAGGACCCCAGCCCATGAACTGGTGTCACCCACAGTTAGAGTGGGTCCTCCCACCTCAATCACCCCAATCTACAAACTTCTTCCTAGACAGGCCCAGAGATTTGTCTCCGAGGTGATTCTAGGTCCTTTGAGGTTGACAGTATTAACCTTATCATAGAGGTGAAGGTCACCTGGTGGTGTCCCTTGCCACTTCCGTGTCCCCCACTTCCAAGCCCTCTCCCACCATTATCCAAACATCTTTACCTCCCTTACTCCATAGATACTTTGGCTAGCATAGTGAAGGCCCAGATCAGGAAGGACCTTAGAGGGTGGACCTCTCCTCACAAGTAAGAAAATTGCACCACCAAGACAGGTTGCACAGTGAGTTAGTGCTGCTGGTGGTGGGCAAGGCTCCCTTCAGACTTCCTGTTTCTTCCTGCAGAACTTCCCTCCCCTTTTTCTCCCTCAAGTACCCTGAGCAAGTGGAGTGAGGAGTCAGCCCAAGAAAGTGATGGGATAAGGTCACCGGGTGGTGGGAGGGGCTCCAGCAGCTAGAGCAGGGGAAGGCAGGAGGTGGGTGGAGGAGGCGGGCCCCAGCAGGGCCAGGAGCAGGACCAGGACCCACGGAGATGGACAGGAGAGCCCTCCAGAGCCACCTAATTTATGCATCCTCCCGGCCCTTCCACCCTGGAGGCACACTTCTCAGTCCCCACTGCACACCCCGGACGCCCACAAGCCATCACTTCCTTTTCTTCTCCTTTACCATCCTGGCATCCTCAGCCTCCTGCTGGTCCTTGCTAAACTTCATATTCTTCCTGCTCAGTGGAGTCTTGAAGTACCAGTCCTGGATTGGCAGGGGTAAGTCCACTGGAGGCCACCCTCACTTACCTCTGTCCTCCCCCTTCTCTCTCTGTGGACTGTTTCTTCAGCTTTTCTCCCATCATCCTCCAGGGCCTGGGGATCCCATCAGAGCAGGAGTTTCTCCTGCTCCCTATCAAACACTTCAGGCCATAGTGTCAGCCATTCTGGGTGGGCATGTCTTCCCCCACCTCCAGTCTCTTTCTGGGGCTCCTTCTGTCAACCTGCCTTTGGAGGTTAGTCATCAAATCAAGGGTGGTTTCTAGTTCCAGAAGAAGCCCAGAGCTCCTCCCACGAAGGTGACCCTCTCTGGGTTCTGCCCTCAGGCCCCTACATAGTGTTACCTGTACATTTCCCAACCGAAGCCCGACTTCATTTACCCTGACTGTCTTCCAGTAATGAAAGGGAACACTGGGTGGGGCCCCAGGCTTGTTTCAGAGCTCTGACTCCAGGCTGCCACTGCCAAGTCCCCAGATCCTGGCCTGGCAGCCTCACCTTCAGGCTCTCCTCTTCCTCCCTGTATATCGGCTCCAGCCTTGCTAGGTGCCCCACAAACTCAGAAGCCGCCAGTGGCCTCTTGGACAGTTGCTGGAGCCGCCGTTTGGTCATCACTGAGTGAACGGCTTGTAGAATGTGACCGGATGTGTAGCCATCAGACACTCTAGCCAGGGCACTAATGTCCAGGCTCTGGGACAACTGTGTTCCCCGGACCTCTATCATGTGCTTCCAGAGTACTGTGGGCAGGGGAGAGCACTGTGTCTCTCTAGGAAGGTCTGGGACAACGACAGGTAGGGATTGTTCTAGCTGAGCACCCAGCATTGGAGACCCTGAGGAAAACAAGTGTCCTGTCCGTGCCCATGACACTGAAGTCAGGAGTCAGGGCACTGGACTGCTTGTGTATGGATGGCCTTCCAGACCTGCCATTCTGTCATTTGGTCCTGAAGCTGAGGGCTCAGGGCTGCAATGGAAGATGGGGAGAGGGCATGGGCTCTGGAGGGTGGTCGCCCCTGGGTTCCATCTCTGGCCTCACCATAGCGGGAAGCATAATCTGGCCGAGGAATGAAGAGAATGTGCTCATAGAACCGGCACAGTGCCTTCGTCTCAGCCAGTTGTGGCCAGTCAGTGGTCCCTATCAGCATCACCCGGTCACCAGGACTCAGCAGTCGTATGGACTTTACAATGTCCTTTTTTAATCGCTTCGGGTCCATCTGCTCCAGGAAGGGAAGGTGGAGAGATTGGGACTTGGTAGCTGGGCCTGTGGGACCCTGTGTTCTCATGCTTGGCCTCACATCAGCCCTGAGTGGGGAGGGGAGAGGCCTTCTGTCCAGCTTTGAGACAAGGAAAAGGTATTTGAGAGCATAGGACTTGGGTAAGGTCTACTGGGTGAAGTTTCCAGTGACTTGGGCAAGACTTCCAGTCTCACCAAGATTCTGGCATTCCATCGGCACAGCCCTTCTTGCCCATGGTCCCTGCCCACAGTCCCTGGCGAGGCTCTCACCCTCCTTTCTTCCTTCGGAACCTTCTTATAGAAGGTCTTCTCAGTATTTCCAATCCAGATCACAGAGGGCTGTAAGAACCGGGCCACCTGAATGGGTCAGAGTGTGGAAACCAGACATCAGACATCCCTGGCAAGGGTCACATCCCTACCTGGTGAGATCTCAATGGCTGACCTTGGAGCCCCTAGCTTCCACTTATCATCCCTTACCTCCCTCTCCTCCCACCTTCCCCAGCTCCTTCAGGTCCTGACATCTCACCAACCAGGTAGATACCCCAGAGGTGTACAGCCCACCCTGCTGTTGTTGCCAGCCAAAGAAGACAACTCAAAGCTCATGGCTCCAGACCTTAAAAACAATGTGCACCAGCATTTGTGCCCCGTTCTTGCCAGGGTATTTGCCCATCACGTTGCTGGGTGACAGGTCGAAGAGGTTGGCACCGGTTTCTGTGCATACTGCATGGACCAACATCTTCTTCCCCATGCCAGAGGGTCCCACCAGAAGGATGGAGCGGACATGGGGAGCTATGGAATGTATGTCTTGGGAGCCTGGGAGGAAGTAGATAGGACTGGGCAGGCCATGGACCAGCATTGGGTAGAAGGCTAGAAAAAGAGCCTGGAAAGTTCCACCAGGTCTTGGAGCTGATAGGGTGAGGTGCAGACTTGGGTCTTGCTACTGTCCCCCAACACCTGAGAAGCTCCCCAACTCTACAGCAGCAACATATTTAGCAACCTCTACAGTGGGGAACTGTACATGGGGCCCTGCTGTTTTCCATACCACATGTTTCAACTCCTGGACTCAGGTGGGCAGAGTTGAAAGGCGTGTGACACACTGCTTTGGAAAGCTGCTGGCCTCATCTGCCTTTGGAGTCTGCTTTATTTAATAAGCAAGGCTGTCCTTCTGAAAATAAGACTGACCATGGAATGCCACTTGGGGTTGAGGATGGCACTCAGGCCCTCAACAAGTCAGGGGCTCATTTAATCTCTGGAGAGGCACAGTGTGGGTGTGACTGCCAGCAGAATCTGGGAAAGCAAGAGGTCTTATACCCACTAGGGTTAGGGAGAACCAGACTTGCACATACCCACCTCAGTCATGCTCCTTTGGACCCAAGCCCTTCCCCTTCTTACCCAGTCTAAGGACCCCATACAAGGCTATGTTCTGTCGTATATCAAACAGGGAGGGCATGGGCATCTTGTTTGCCAATGTCAGAGTGGATCCGAGATAGAGGCAGTCACCTGAGGGGACAGGGAAGGACCATCTGGTGAGGAGCACTCTTGGGGGAGGTTGTCTGGAGGAGAGATCTGCTGGAAGAGAGGCCTCAGGAAGGGGAAAAGGCTGCTTGGGAGCAGGGCATGGGAAAGGGCCTCACCAACATAGTCTTTCAGGGCCACAATCACGTTCTTCTTTATAATGCCAATAACGACAAGCTCTTCAAACAATGAGTCCACAGACCTGATGGAGGACAGTACAGACATTAGTGAGAGGGGACAAAGAAAAAGGGAGGTAGAGGTAAGGGGCTGTGGGCACAAGAAGGGGCAAAGCATCCTCTGGGTAACATCTTGTGGTCAGAAACATCAACAGAGTGCCTGGACAGCCAGAACTAGAAGATGAGGTCCCAACCACTGCGTCAGGGCACAGGTGCCCCATAGTGGATGCCCTGTGGAGTGAAGGGTATGTGACAAAGGCCACTGGCCCCTGTGACACTCCCCATCAACCTCTTATGTCCACCACCATTTGAAATTTGGGTTCAGCACCACCTTCTGTTCCCCTTCCCCAAACCAAGAGTAGAGTGAGAATCTTTCTAGAAGGCCCTTAGGCAACAGACATCAGTGGGTAGAAGGCTTTGGATGAGCCTCTCAGTGTCCCAAGAGGGAGTCCAGGGAGAGATGGAGGGACAGATGGACAGAACGAAGGTCAGAGGGACAAGCTATGTGATCATAAACCCTACATATGTTCTGCTTTGCCATTGGCTGTGTATATTGTATATATGGGGTACAAACTTGCCAACGTGGGTGTGTGCATGCAGGTTCGTGTAGATGTGCATGCATGTGTGTGTAGGTCAACATCAGCTAGCTTTTCTTGATCGCTCTCCACATTTATTTATTTTTTTTGAGACAGGGTCTCCCTGTTGCCTCAACTGACCTGGAACTCCTTATGTAGACCAGACCAGCCTCTAGCTCCCAGAAGTCTGCCTGCCTCTCTCTCAAAAGTGCAGGGATCAAAGTGTGCATGGCTCCACTTGTATTTTTTCAGGCAGGGTCTCTAACTGAACCTAAGGCTCATCAATTCGGCTAGACTAACTAGCCAATGAACCTCAGGGATCCACCTGTTTCCGTATCACCATCCCCTACCTATTCCCATTCACAGGTGAGTACCACCATGCCAGCTTTTTACCATGGGCTCTGGGGTTCTGAACTCAGGCTTGCATGGCAGGACTTTATAGAGCCATCTCCACAGCCCCCACTTTTTCTTTTTCTTTTTTTTTTTTTTGGTCTTTCTGAGACAGGGTCTCTCTGTAGCCTCAGCTGTCTAGGGTCTCTCTGTAGCCACAGCTGTCCTGGAACTCACTATGTAGACCAGGCTGGCCTTGAACTCACAGAGATCTGCCTGCCTCTGCCTCCCAAGTGCTGGGATTAAAGGCATGTGCCACCACACCCAGCTTACTTTTTCATTTTTAAAGACAGGAATTGGCGGACAAGGTCAGGGGATCGAGAAAGGTGAAGTAACTTCCCTAATGCCACAAAATGAAGAACAAAGACCACAATCAGGGATTCCATCCAGACCCCCCGCCCCCAACACGCACAGCACAAGATAAGTGCCACAGGATCTACTACCTGTCTGGGGTCAGATCTTTCTCCTTCTTCTCCTCCTTCCCGGTTCTCTTTCCAGACTTTTTCTGGTGGTAAATGAATGCACACGCGATTGTCCTCTGCTCCCTGCTTATCCCTGTGTCCCCCTACCCCTGCCCAGTCCCAGACCCTAATCTGCCTTTAGAGCCTTCATGGGTCTGTCCTCCTCCTTGTCCACAGCCAGACGCAAGTTCTTCAGCTCCTGCCTCATCAGCTCATCCACCTGGGGACGTGGCAGGGTGTAGGTTGGGCAGGACAGGAGAGAGATAGGTGGGAGAGGAGGAGGAGAATCAGGGAAGAATGGGGAAGGAGAGAGGTGGGGACAGCCACCAAGGCCTTCCCAAGAGAGAGGCTTGGCTGGTTTCCCTCCCTTATACCTGGTCCACACCAGATCTGAATCCACTGAATCCATGATATAGAGAACCACCCTCACCAGCAATCAACATGGGTAGGAGCCCCCAAGATTAAGTTGGAACCTGAGAGTCACCTCTGGAAATCTCTGTGGCCTGAGCAGCTTGCTTTTTTATATGAGCCCCCTGGAAACTAGGACCTACCTTAGGATGGGGACTGAAAAAATGATAGCTCTGGGGGAACAAGCATGGAGGTTGGTGGGAGGGACATGCGCAGTCCCACACCCAGTCGCTGGCTCAGAGGCCCTTCCTTGCCCTCATATCCCTGCTGGTCCCTAGGTGGGAAGGGGACACAGGGGAAGCTGAGGAGAGTGGGGGTGACAGGGTGGCAGTTGGAGCCAGGCCTATGCACAAAGAATGGGGTCCACAGAGAATTGGCTGGGTGCCAGGGTGGGGGACTAAGGGCCAGGGCGAGGTCTGTAGCAGTTGGAGGTTCTGGTGATGGACTCAGGGCCTGTGAGAGCAGCTTGGGAGCCTCATACCTGTACCCGGATCTCCTCCTCCACCTGCTTCCGCTTCTCTTCCCTGAGCATCTCAGAATCAAAGCTCTGGCTGGGATGTTTGTTGTCGAACCTGTTCTTCCACACATCTGCCCACAGATGGTGGAGGGATGTGTGAAGGTGCAAGTCTTGTGTGTGTGCCACATGAACACATACACAAATCCCCTTAGCTAGTTCCCTAGCTGGTTGCCCAGCGCTGCCCTAGGCATGACCTCCTGACCCCAGGACTCAGAAGAAAACCAGTAACACTCCCACCCAATCAACCACCAATCACTCCTTTAACATCACACCTCAGCTCCCAGAGTCACACCCCATGTACCGCCTCATGGCTCTACAGCAGACACCCACTTTCCCCATGACCTAGGGCCTCAAGGCCCCCACAGGCCCAGCACATCCTTGGCCCTCTCCCTTCTTACTCATGTACTCCTCATGACCAGCGTTAATCATAGGGATGACTTTGGATGGCAACACTTTGAACATCACTTCTGGTTCCTAGAACAGAAATGCACTTTGACCTTGGCTCCCTCACCTCCACCTCTCACAGACTGCCCAGCTTTCCTGTCATGCGCCCTGCAAGCTTGCTTCCTCCCTGCCCACCTTCCCCGCGTGCTGGGGGCGGGCTTACCGTCCTCACTTTCTCTTTTTTCTTCTCTCTTTTCTCCTCTTTTTCCTTACCCTTCTCTTGCCCCTTTTTACTCTCCTGGGCCTGCATCTCCAGCTCCATTTGCACCTGGAACAGACAACAAACAGCATTTTGGGGCTTTCATAGAAGTGAGAGGACCCAAGGCCACACACAGGCAGGTCCAGGATTTTCCCAGCCTAGGGGAACTGCCAGAATGGAGAGAGCTGAGTGTGCGAGGACAGGATGCTGAGGAAGAGGGTCCTCATCAGAGGTGCTGCCCACACTTGCGCCACAGGGACCTTGGGCACCTTAATGGTCTCACCAGACTGTTCCCTCTCCAGGGCCATGGCTGCCTTCTCCAGCCCCATACAGTCTTTCTAGCTGCTATAGCTGTCTCCACGGAAATGGATCCTTCCACACCCACTGCCACCCTCAGCTTACATGCACTATTGTCTGTAACCTCAGGCTGAGCCTGTCCCCACCTCCGGGGTACCTGATCTGGAGTCTTGTCTGCAAAGATCAGATAGGATCCACCTGAAGACTCATCTGGATAATCAGGGAACCGACCAGTAAGGGCACTAAGTGGATTTAAGGTAGTTAGAGAGTGGATGAGTGGGTGGATAGATGGGTGGGGAATGGATGGATGGGTGGGTGGATGGATGGAGGGATGAATGGGTGGAGGGAGGGATGGGTGGATGGAAGGATGTATATGGGTAGAGGAGGGCTGGATGGGTGGATAGAGGGATGGATGGGTAGATGGAGGGATGGGTAGGTGGAGGAAGGGAGAGGTGGGTGGGTAGGTGGGTGGAGGGATGGATGGAGGGGGGATGGGTGGGCAGATGATTAAGTGAATAGATAGACGGTTAGATGAGTGAGTAGACAAGCATACAGGCATGGTGGTTAGGCAGAAGGAAGAAAGGATGATGAGTGGATGGAGGGATGGGTAGACAGACAGACAGATGAATATGTGGACAGGCACACAGATGGGGTAGTTAGGCAGATGGAAGGAAGGAGGGAAGTGGAATGGATGGATGGAAGGAAAGACCCAGAGATGGGAGACAATGGAGGGAATGGCTAGTTTAGAATGGAAAGGGCCGATTGCCACAGGGTCATTCTTAGTGCTCTTCCCATGTTACCCTGGCATCTTCCCTCATGGAAATGATAATTCATGTGTGGAGCTGGGTCTGTACAGTGGCGGTTCAAGGTCTAGGCCAAGAGTGTTAGGAGGGAGTACGGGTAGATAGAGGAAAAAGGGCAATGGGACTAAAGGAGAAAGTAGGCTGGGGAATGAAATGGGAGCAGTTCCGGAAACAACTAGGTGAGGCAGGAACAGGGATTAAGAGGCTGTGGATACTGACTGGCACTCAATAAACCACTGTCGGATTTCCGTCTTCATCTTCTCCTTCATGTCAGGCCCCTCCGTCTCTGTGAGGGTATGATGAATCTTTGATATGGCATCCTGGAACTCCTCCTCCTTTTCTGTCTGCCGGACCCTCCGGGCCTCCTCCCCCTGGCAGGCCTGGGTGATGATGCTCAAGTGTGCCACCTGGTTGGATGAGGGGAGCTGGGAGGAGTGGAGAGGCAGGGTGTCAGGGTGTTGGGGTGTCAGGCTTCGGCATGGGAGGTCGAAGCCCCATCCTTAGACACACACACCTGCCCCCACTAGTCCCCCCGACACACCCAAGTCTCATGCACACTTCCTCACGGAACAGCGAGCATGCCTGCATCAGGAGAAATTGTGTTTGGAGCCGAAATTCGTCTGTGTAAATTACCCTGGTAATGAGTTTGCTAGATGCATCCGGTTAGCCCTCCTCCCGCTCCCCCCAGCAACCCTCCCCCCGAGCCTGTGGCCCCAGCCCCCACGCATGCCCCGCCCGGCAGCCGAGTTGGCAGCACTCTCACAGCCACTTTCCCGCCTCATTGGCTCCCAAATGTATTTTAAATATCACTCTGCGCAGAGACAATTACTGAAAACGCTGAGCTCACAGTGTTGATGGGCCCGGGCGGCCAGGCTCATTCCTCACACACTGCTGTGCCCCCACCCCTGCTCTCCCTCCTGGGGGTCCAGCTCTGCAGCCCCCTAGCAAGTCTTTGACCCCTGCTCCCACACAGCAGCCCCCTTGGTAGCCATCCTAACCTGCAGGATTGGGAAAGCCTTCCTTCTAGTTCCCGTGACCCTAGCCTCACCCCTCCCCTGTCCCTCTGCCAGCCAGGTCTCCACAGGATCTGCCAGGGGCAAAGCCCTTTCCCTAGAGTGTGACCCTTGCTGGATGAGTGAAGGGTCTGAGAACAGAGGACATCTTGAGAGAGCAGGGCTCCTCACTACAATTGGACACACACGTGGATATGTGCAACACACAAGGCTCCCTGTCCCCATGGGCCCAGCCACACTTAGAGCAGAGAAGCTAGTTCTGGCCCCTGTAGCAAGTGGGGGGGCTTGCGACCTCACAAATCCTTGATTAGGGGTGTGTTCCTACTCCCAACATGGGCCCCAGTGGTTCCCTGAGACTAGATGAAACTTGGGGGACCCGTGGGGTGTTCCTGCTGGCCCTGAGTCCTCTTACTTCTTCTGGGTCCATCTCTACAGTCTCTCCTGGCTGGGACAGGGATGCAAGGTTCAGGGTGCTCTGTGCCACTGTTCCCCCCCACCCCTCATCCCATCTGAGATTCTTCAAAATGCTCTTGCTGAGGAAGGAGGTAGGGAGGGATGTGACTCCATGACTTTGGGGTTCTGATGCTTTTCTCTCCCCCAGGGTCTCCTGCAGTACCTCAGTAGAGGGCAGATAGGCAGTGAGGGGCTAGAGAGGGACGTGCCCTGAGGCAGGAGTGCAGAGAACCCAAAAGGTGAACAGGCTCCTTTGTGGGCCAGGGAGGGCTCACCATGCTGATGAACTCCATCTCCGCTCGCCGATCCTGTTGAATGTGTTTCCTCTGCAAGTAACCTTTCCACACCTGAGGGCAGGGACATGTGCCACTCACATGATCTCCATACCATGTGACCTCAGGCCTAGGGTCTCGGCACAGCAGTTTTAGGTGGGGCAGAGGGCGGCTCCTCCACAGGTGCAATTGCACACTGACCAGGAACAGTTCAGGATGGTTGGTAGACACCTGAGCCTCCCAGACCTCCCCTCTTTCTCACCTCTACCCTAACCTGCTGTATCTCTTTTAGAGACACGGGTCAGAGTTCAACAGAAGTTTCCAATGCTCCCTTCTGGGAATTTCTGTAGCAGCTGGAATAAGTATTTGGCTCTACCCAGGAACACAGTGCTACTGCTGGCTCTGTGCAGCTTTCCCAGTTCCCTTTCATTTTGACCTAAGGGAACTGGGCCAGAAATGGGCCACGACTTCTCCCAGACTTAAGTGCAGAGCTGGACCAGTGTGTTTTCCCAGCTGCCAGGCACTCCCATCCAGATACACGGGTGGGTGCATTTGGTTTATTGACTGATTAAGGTCCCTGGGTTACCATTGAGATGTGGGACCACAGGCTCCATCCAGGCACCTGCGCTCCTGGGATTAGTTGCTCAGCTCAGCAGCATCCTGGAGAAGGTGACTCTACCCTGACCCTCTTCCTGGGCACCCAGGGTTACCTTCTGTATGACAATAGCTCCTTGATCCTGACTGATCTTCTGCCACCCATCCTCCCGAATCCTCCGATCTCGTTCCTCCTCTTTCTGAATCTCTCGCGTGAAGGTGGCTCGGAGCCGGCCCTGCCTGGCCCGCTCAGCACTTTGCACTAGAATTATGGCCTCAGTCCGGCTCATTACTGGAAAGTTCTGGCCAGAGTGGGCACAAAAGAGCAGGGAAACATGAGGGGAGCTTGTACCCAGGTTAGGCAGCTGGGAGACCAGCTGTGAAGGATGCACTGGGACATAGGCTCAGGTACTTGAAACTTATCTTGTGTTAGAGGGTTACAGGGAATGAAGAACACCCTTGAAAGAGGCTGGGGATTGGCAAGGAGCAATCTGAGGTGGGAGTAGGGCAGTGCAGGGCCTATCTGTCCTGGAACAGGTGATGTACGAACAGCCTGGGAGGGTGCCCTGCAGTGACTGTCATAGAAGGAATGAAGTTTTCTAAAGTGATACATGTGCCCTTCCCTTTGCCTATCAGACTATTGAGACAACAAACCCCAAGGAGTTGGAATTTCTCCAGGAATCTCAAGCTAGGAGAAGGAAAATGCTGGGAGCCTGGAGCCAGCCAGAGGGAGAGCTCCTGTCCCAGGAAGAGATTTTTACACAGCACTAACAACTTGTCAGACCACCCTGCAGGAGATGGAGCCCAGGCAATGGCAGGCAGGGCTTTGAGGGGATAGCTACTTATGCATACTCTGGGCCCTCTACAAAACCTAAACCTCATGCTATGACCCTGAAGAGGAACTGGCCTCTTTGTGCCTCTTCCCAATGTAGCCACTGTTGAATAAATCTTTGCTGCTCTTTCATTGTCTCTTTAATTGGCCTGTTGAGGGGTGGTGGAGCTGAGCCTATCTTATTAAAGCTGCCAGGGCTTAGGCTCTGACCCTAATGACTGATAACATTACCTCCTGGGAGATCAGTGGTTCCAGTCTGCTCAGGATCTCAGCCAGCATCTGCTGTCGCCCCTTTATAGTGCTAGATTGTTCCAGCTTAAAGTATTTAGGGATGGGAACCTCCAGGTCTGCCTGTATGGCAATGGGTGGGGGAGGGTCAGGAGCTGGAAACCCAGGCCCTCTGGCCCCCCTGCTGCCATTTTCAGTCTCTACTATGTTCCCCTACACTCTTCCTTCTCCTAGAGTCCTGGGGTGGGAAACTGACTGGTTCTAGATTATGAGGTAGACTCCCCCAAGGGTCATGCCTTTCTTGTCAACACACATCCGGGTGAGTTCAACTGTGGAGGATACCAAACCTGACTAACCTGACTAGGGCCCAGAATCAACCGCAGAGCCTTAGCCGTTCTGTCTCCCATAGGAGAACGCAGGACCCAGGGACTCTTTTCTCCCCACTCTAAAGTCCACTACTGCAAGCTGGTAGCTGGTCAGGGAAACTTTGAGACTGCCTTGATTATGGGACAATGACTGAGCCCTGGCCTTGATCGGCCTGACCCTCTGTTCCCCAAAGTCTCAGCACTATGATTCCAGCTGGTCGAGACCGGTCCCTGGCTCACACCCCAAGACGGGGGCGTGGCTAGGTGGGGGCCGGAGTTCCGAGCCCCGCCCCCTCCCTGCGGGATGTGGCTGCGGCGCACCGGGGTCAGTTTGAGGTCCTGCAGCACACGGTCCAGGCAGTGGGTCTCGCACAGGTCCACGCGCACCATCTCCTCTTTGAGCTCCAGCACCCGGCCCGCCACCGCGTCCAGTAGGCGCCGCAGCAGCCGGCGCTTCTGCGGCTGCACCATCTGGTCGTAGGCCGTGTCGAAGCGGCGCAACAGCCCCAGGTAGTACAGATAGAGCAACGAGAGCCTGTACTGGAAGTTCTGCCGCTCCTGGATGGGCACGGGTTCGAGCAGAGGCGGCTCTCGGTCCAGCGCCTCTTGCAGGGTGACGTGGGAGGCCTCCCAGAGGCGTTGGTAAGCTCTGGAGAGAAAGCACACACTGCGCTGAACCACGGAGAGGGGACGGAGCTGCTGCCCTTGGAGAACTGCGAGCTTGGGGTTCCAGAGGGCTGTCCCTCATGATGCCACAGTGGACTTCAGCAGAGCGAAGGCCAGCTGGGAAAGAGTGGGCACCCGGCCTGGTTTGGAGAAGCTGTGAGATTAGGGTCTTGGGGGGGGGTCTTGATGGATTAGCAAAGAGTGAAGACCTGGCTCTGGTCTGAGGGTTTGCGCAGGAGGTACATAGCCTGGGGTTGGGGGTGCGGGGTTGGGGTTGGGCTCCTGGAACGAAGGGACGTCTAGAGGCAGCCAGGAGCGGTGAGAATGCCTAGGACCCACCCAGGGCCTGCTAGCACCCAGCTCTCCTCTCTGCCTGGTCTCTCAGGGCCAGTGAGGCACTTCATTGCTCTTTGCTGTCCACACCAGGGCGCCTCCCCTCTCCCCAGCGTTCACTCACCCCTCAGACATGGTGTCCACTCCCGTCTCTGCCCTTCGTGAGCTAGTGATAGAACCTGCAAAGCTCTGTGGTTCCCAGGAAGCCAGGGGCAGAATAGCCTGGTTTGAAGAATTCTGACCCATTGTGCCTAAGTTCTAAAGGTGAGAGGTGCAGCTGGGAAGTGCAGGGCTGGGGACACTTGTCAAAGCTGAAGCTGCAGACAGAAAGGCCTATGGACAGTAGCTGCAGAAAGGCCAGGACCGGGTGTGAGACAACAGTGGCTTCTCTTGTGTCTGTCAAATAGACAGCAGTCTCCTTTGAAGTCATCTATAAGCCTGGACGCTCAGGATAAGTATTTGTTCCAGAGGCAGCACTCCAACTGCCAGTTCTCATCCAGAGGAAACCAGATACAGTTTTATTATGTTGGTTGCTGGTTTCAACTGCTCCCCTGCCTCAGCCTCCTGAGGATCAGGGTGCACAGTGGCACATGCCAGCAGCCCCTTGGCTTTGCTTCTTTTCAGGGATGGAACCAGGGCGTGGTGTCCATGATAAGCGCACATTGAACCACCTTCCCAGCCTGGCCTTTACTCTTGTATGACTGTCCTGGGAGGCCTGTGTGATAGGAACAGGAAAGGCATTGGATTTGTGGTCAGACAGTCCTGCAGTCTCAACTTCCCCTGTGTGATAGTAAGCATTAGCCATGCACCCTCACTGGGATCCACACGGTTTGGATGTTATGTTGAGATGTTATGAAAGAGTGTAGTGGGTGCCACACAGTGGCGTCTGGGAGTGTCAGCTATGGATGGGGACTGACATGGCTACAGGCTCAGGAGCTCATTCTTCAGAAATACAGACCATTCTGCTAGCAGCAGCCTGATTTTGGTTAGCTAGGGGTCATCTTTGGAGATCAGTATTAAGCAGGAGCAAGAGGGAATGAAGGAAGGATGGAAGAGAAGAAAGAGAGGGAGGAAAGATAAAGGTGAAAAGGGAGGCAGGAGAGAGAGGCACAAAAGAGGACTCTCTTTATTACAGAGAATAGTGCTTGGAGGATACCGGATACCGTTCATATGTAGATTCCATTCTAGAGCTGAGAGGCAGTGGAGCTCACTTTCCTCATGTGATCCCAGGTGATGAAGTACTCTGGCCCATGCATCGCATCTTCCTTGTCAAAGTGTCAAACAAAGTGCTCAAATGGAACAGAGTGAGGCTCGGGCCAGATTTCTAGGGTCTGGGTCCCTGGATCTCCTCCTCAGTTGTGGGGCCCAAATGTTGGTCATTGAGTCTCAGCTCATGAAATCTCAACACGAGTCTTGAGCTATGCGAAAATGCCAATGAAGTGCACGCTGCTCACAGAAGCCAGATGTCAGCCGACGTCACAAGATGGGGCCTTTCAGTACGTGAAGCTCAAGGCCACAAGCCAAGTCTGTCAGCCACATAGATAACTTCAGACCGAAGTCCCTGCCCTCTGTTCCATGCTCTCCAAGCTTAGAGGAGAATGGCAGATCTTTAGGGCACTGATAGGAAGAAGAAAACATGTCAGATGCCAATCAGGGAGTCTAGGTGAAGGTCAGGTGAGTGGAGACGTAACTGAAATTCTTTTGTGTTGAACATTTTTCAGATGTTTCAAAATGCAATTGGAAGAAAAGGTAGGAATCTTCAAAACATCCCCACTAGATTTTAAGTTGAGGGGAAAGAGGCTATTAGGGGAAATTTAGGGGAAATTTTAAAAATCCCAGATTTCAGCAGATTATTTAGAAACTGGTCCAACCTACAGTTGTGTGTGCATGTGTGTAAATTTTTTGGTTTTGTTATTTGAGGCAGAATCACACACTCTGTAGCCCAGACTGGCCTCAAATTTGAGGCAGTCTGGTCTGCCTATGCTTCCTGAGTGCTGGAATTACAGATGTGAGCCATCACTCTGGGCTCAGATTGTGTATCTTAAAGAATAGATTTGTGCATTGGGGATGTGGCTCAGTTGGTAGCATGCTTGCCTAGTATGTAGTACTGTGGTCACCACCAGCAGCGGCTGCTCCTCTGTTCTCACAGGCACCGCTCCTTCGTTCTCATGGGTGTCAAGGCTGTTCCTCCGCTCATCCTGGGCTGAGGTCGCTCTTCTGCCCACCTGGTCCCAGATCCCAGGGCTGGTGAGGAGACTGTGTCAGCAGAGCTGCATTCAGACACAGGAGACCAGGTTCAGTGACACAGATCTGGTTTATTGCAGGAAGGCACAAGCTTATATAGGGGTGGTGGTCCAATCACAGCACAGCAAGTAGGATACCTCATTAGTATAACAGGTTTAGTGTCCTATCACAGTACATCAAGTAGGATACCTTATTAGCATAACAGACAGCGTATTATTAGCATAACAGACTTAAGGTCCTATCACAGAATAGTGGGTAGGATGCCTCATTAGCATACTGGGTTTCAGATTACAGAGCCTGGATTCCTGGAAACCACTTGACCCTGACTGTTGCAATATCTAAGTGTTGCAATTTTGGATTCCAAGGGTGGTGATTAGGAGTGGCGAGCTCTAAGCATCAGTCTCATGGTCTGCCAATGGGAACAAATGTCACAAGGTGTTCCTTGTGGCTCCAGCGTTTGGGCCATTGCCTTGGACCTGCAGTATGGCTGTCAATAAGACTTTCACCCTAGGCTCAAGCCTGTCTCCCACATAGTACGTCCTGGGTTTGATCCCCAGTACCAACTATACTGAGCATGGTGGTACATGCCTATAATCCCAGCACTGGGGAGATGGAGGAAGAAGGGATCAGAAGTTCAAAGTCATCCTCAGCTACATAGGGAGCTTGAGGCCAGCCTGGACTACGTGAAACCCTATTTAAAAAAAAAAGAGGGCTGGAGAGATGGCTCAGTGGTTTAAAGAGCATTGTCTGAGCCCTCTTCTGACTTCCAAAGGTACCAGGCACACACATAGTATATTTACATAACATACAGGAAAAACACTCATACACATAAAATGGAACTAAATCTTAGAAAAGAGAATAGATTTATATAAGGCTCTGAGTTCAGTCACCAGCAACACCTCCTAAACAAACAAATAAGCAAATCTGTACTGTGCAAATCTGCTAACCCAGTGCTTGTTACGTAGGCTACAATGATATGGATGAGAGATGGACTCACAAGCCTATATCTGAAAGGAACACATCTGTGGTGGTTTGAATGAAAATGTCCCCCATAGGCTCCAAGTATTTGGACATTTTGTCCCCAGTTGGTGGCACTGTTTTGGGAGGTCTTAGAAGGTGTGACTATTGGGATGAAGCATGTCACTTGGGGCAGGCTTAGAGAGCTCTCATAAGTTGCTTTGGTCAGTGTTTCTATCACAGCAACAGAAAAGTAACTAATACAGTATTGGTACCAGGAGTGGGATGTTGACTGTGAAGAACTTGACCATGTGGGGTTTTGGAAGAATGTGAAAGACTTTGTAAGTTTGGTCTAGAAAAGCAGTTGATTGCTGTAAGCAGAGCTTAGCAAGCCATTCTAGTAGGGGCCTGGGAGAAAGTAGTGCTGAGAGCAATGTAGTTCCAGAGGGAAATAAGGACTTAAACAGCACTTGGGCTATTTTGGCAAAGAGTCTGGCTGGAGTCTGCCCACAGCCAAAAAGCTTGCCTGAGGCTAAGTTGAAAAACCATGGACTAATTTCTCTGGTGGAAGAAATTTCAAGACAGCATAACATAGAAATGGTGGTGTGGCTATTAATGGTGATTATTATACAGATTTACAGTGAAAAAGAGCAAATGGGGCAGAAAGAAATACAGAATGTACAGGATGGATTGAAAAAGAGCACTAGGAAGATAAATGTTGGAACCCTGGTATGTGCTGGAGAGGATCCCTTTGATAAGGAGATTAAAGTGATTAAGGAGGGGCCTACATATTTGCACTTAAACAATGGAGAGAGTGCCTCCAGGGCAAGACTACACCCAGTTAAGCCTCCAACTTGGAAAGGAAAATGCTGCAGGGGTCATTGAAGAGAAAAGCTAAGCTTCTAAAATGGATAAAGAAAGCTGGGGTCCATCCCAAGTTTGCGGTCAAACTTGGCAGTGTTGTTCACCTGGTGCTGGCTTTAGAAGCATGAATGATACAAGAGTGAAGAGGTCATCAATTCTTCCTCCTTGGTTTCAGAGAGCTGCCGAGGCCAGGCAGCATGCAGCAGGGGTTCACCTGCATAAAGAATATGGGCCATTGCATGAAGCTGTGAAGGTGAAGCCTGGGTGGCAGTGGAGAGCCCAAGGAGACGTTTGTAGTGCCAGAGCTGTGAAGCATCTGCCAAGAAGACCTGCATACAGGGAGTGGTACCAACCACAGAGAGAGATGTATGTTGCATGCAGCAAAGTTGGAGATGCTGAGTCATCTATAAGCTCTTTGGAAGTAAAGTCCCAGAAGTTAGACATGGAGCTACTGGACTTGGTATTTGCCCTGCTGGTTTTCGGTCTTGTTTTGGTCTGGTATTTCCTTACTATGCCTCCATCCCTCCCTTTTAGAATGGGAATGTGTGTTCAGTTCCACTGTATGTTGGGAGTATATAATTTGTCTTTTGATTTTATAGGGCTTACAGTTAAGATATTTCCCTGAATCTCAGAAGAGACTTTGGACTGTGGACTTTTGAATAGTACTGAGACTGGTAATGACTATGGGGACTTTTAAGGTTGGACTAAATGCATTGTACATTTTATATGGTCATGAGCCTATGGATGTCAGGGGGTGTAATGTGGTGGTTTGAATGAAAATGTCCCCCATAGGCTCCAAGTATTTGGACATTTTGTTCCCAGTTGGTAGCACTGTTTTGGGAGGTCTTAGAAGGTGTGGGTATCCTGGAGGAAGCATGTCACTGGGGGCAGGTTTAGTGAGCTCTTAAGCCTTGCCAGATCTGGAGTTGCTCTCTTGCTTCTGTGCCTGCTGGAAGATATTGAGCCTAGCTTCCCCTCCTCCTCCAGCCACCTCTGCCACCATGCCTCCCTACCATAATGGACTCTTGCCCCTTTGGAACAATAAGCTCAAATAAACTTTTCCTTTTATA